AGCAACAGCCGGCCTCTTCCGTGAGGCCAACTGCGCTATGCCATCCCATCGGGAGCACTTTGGCGCATAGTACATAGGTGCATCCTGCATCATATCCAGGTCCCAGCAGGCTGCCCTCCACTTCCACGTTGAAGGGAAGTATGCACTGCCATGCTTCCGGTAGAAGAAAAAGATAAAAGGCAGATGTGATATCAGCTTGACTAACCTCAATCTTTTCACCTTCTCCTACAAACAAGGTAGTCCATTGTGTGATCGAAGGAAGCCTGTGGACAGACCCAGCGATGATCTTGAACAACGAGTTGGTCGGGATAAGATTCATGATTACTCTGAGGACAGGCTTTTGATTAATCAACTTCCCAGGCTTGACAACACCAAAAAGACCGTTTCGAACCGGCTGACCGCGGTACTGTAGTGTTTCAGATGCCTTGCGCCACATGCATACATTTCGCTCCACTAAAAGTCGAGCAACCTCAACTTTCTCCCCCTCTTTAATATGAATCCGCCCCTTCAATCAGGGCAGGGACTGCCCCGTGTCTGCAATCATCAACCTGTAGGGTTCCTTCAAAAGTTCCTTAGTGGACTTACTCAACCAATCCAACTTGATGGATCCTCCACGTTCAACAGAAGGCAATGAGGGCGTGATCTGTTCCAGATTAAGCTTCTCAACCTTACCTATCTCTTCACCCCCATGGCCAATGTCCTTATTTGCCAATTCGCCTTTGATCTGAACAGGTCCCCAAACCGGGTGTCCAAAGTCACCAACCAACTGTTTCCTAACCCGTCGCTCGATCGTCCGGAGGCACTCTCTCTGTTCTTTGCGAAGTGCACCGTCCCGAAAGCCCAAGTCGCTACCGTGAAGTTGCTGACAGAACTTAACCGAAAGAAAGGTCCAAGCATCAACAAAGTCCTCCATTCCCCAAAACGTGTCAAAGAAAATGTCGTCAAACAAACTTCCCCTGAGTTTTGCCTCAAACCTCTTCCAAACGTTTGGGAAGGGGAAAAGCGAACGACACTTCTCCCCAAGCTGCTCGCAGAAACTGTTTTGCAAGAAACGGTTCATGTTCTGCCAGAGCCAGGCCTTGCATAGCCCGGAGCGATGGCCTTCAAAGGCAACCCACGCTAGACCTACTCCCAGCGTCCCCTGCAGCGAAGTAGCTTCGCAGAGGCGGTCGGCCACCTTCTCTCCTCTGACTCCGTCCTCAAACAACCTCAAGGGCAGCTGCTCCTTCTGCAGCCTCAGTCCTTCTGAATTCTCAGCCTCTCTAACCTCGCTTCCTCTGGGCGGGATCAACTGGAGCTGCATCCTCAATCTCTCCCGCCGCCGCGGCCTCTGCACTGGAAATCTCTGTCTTCAAAGCATCCTTGCCCTCAACTGGACCACTGCTCCTCTTCTGTACCTCAGCTCCTCTCATGCACTCATTCATTGAATTATCCTCTGCCTTCTCGGCCTCAAGCCTCACTTCTCCTCGCCTCCATCGGTCTTGTGACCCTCCTTTCCTCCACCTTTTGCCTGCTTGGCCTCCTTGCCGCCCTTCTTCTCCTTTCCTCCCTTCTTGCCTCGGTCGCCCTTCTCTCCCTTCTGCCATCTCCAAGGGGTGCCCCCTCCTCCGTAGGGCGCCCACTGCCTGAAGCTGCTGACCCCTTTCCTTTTCCTTCGTCCCCGTGAGCTCGGGCAATCAACTGGCCGTGGCGCCGGGCCTGAAGTTGAAGCTCGGCCGGAGCCACTTGTTCCTCTTCTGGCTCGCATACCTCGAGGAATCGAGCCATTGTCCACCCTTCTGAGATCGCCGATTCTACGGCCATAAACCGGCCTGCCAGAAAGTCTAGGGCTGCAAGGAGATGACCCGATCTGATCTTGTCGATTGCGCTTGCGAGCAAAAACAACTCCCTCATCGCCGGCGCAAACGCGCCGTGGCGCGGGCGGAGGGTGATCTGCCAATAGCTGGTCACTCTTGGGCCTGCTGTAAGGAGTTGTTCTCGATCCACATGCAGCTCCTGCAATTGTTGAGCTATCTGAGACAGCAGTAGCTCGGCCACGCTCCCTGGTCTTCTCTCCGCCTTTCTCTTGAGCGGTGCCTTGAACTTCCGGGTCAACTTCTCCTCGGATGAGCCGCTGTAGCTCTCGTCCTCTGAGTCCTCGGAGCCTGAGCCATCGGAGTCGTCGCTTCCCCCGCTGCAGTCTGGTGGATCTCCTCCTGCTGCTCCCGAGCCTTTTCCTTTCTTCTTTTTCTTTTTCTTCTTTCCCGTAATAGCCGCCTTCAGGGCCTGGATGATCTTTGACCCCTTGCCACGCTTCTTCTTCTTCTCTTTGGATCTCTTCCCAAGGGCAGACGCACTGTCTCCTGAAGCTGAGGCAGCGGCAGCGACCAACTCTTCTCTGGGGCTCCTCACTTTCTTGCCACTCGTAGAAGCGCCTTTTCGCTCCTCCCGGCTTGAATCCAGCAGCCTTGTAGGGCCAATTAAAGTCATCCGTGTAGGTGTCGCTCGAGCCTTCCCTTCCGCTGCAGAGCCTGAGCTCTTTGGCCTTGAGGTAGCGCCCAAAATCCAAGCGCCTTCCCCATGGTGCCTGGCCAATCGCCCATGGCGGTGGTCCGAATCTCTCCTCTGTCTCTTCCTGCCTGACCTCTCTCCTCCTTCTCGCATGGGCTCCTCCCCAATCTCGGGGACCTCCTCTGAGAACCTGACTCCTGATCGTTCTCCATCGTGATGACCTCCTGAGCTCGGGACCTCTCCAACTGCATCGTCGGTCTTCCTTCTCGACTCTGTTGTGGGACGCCTCAAAGCCCCCCTTGCGGGGGGTTCTGCTGCCTTCTTCTCCTTGGCTGGGGCCTGCTCCACGGAGGTAGAGACGTCTATACCTAAGTGCTCCATGCAGAGTTGCCACCATCTCCTCTGGCCTGAGTATCCAAGAGTCTCCGCATTCAGCTCGTTGCCCCTTACCAAGAAAACGTTCTGAACATGAGCCAAGTAGTTCCCAGGCACCGAACAGACAGGGGTCATACAAAAATGAACTAGGTTCAGATTCTTTGAGAGTTGAGTCAACTTGCGAGAAGTTTGAGGGTCTCCAGTACCTAGGGGAGTGAATTCGCCCGTGATGCTTCCATCTCCATCCACCCACCCTTTTGTGATGAAGAGCGGAGCCTCTACTGGCACTCCATCCACCAGCACCGAAGTGAGGGCGACCACACCAGGTTGAACTTGCATCAGACTCCATTTGAATGAGTCCTCAATGGAGAACTCGCCAAGCCCCTCGTCCGTTTCAGCCTCTCCTGCGTCTCTTTCGCTCTCTCTCCTCATCACCTCGCACCTCCTTCCTTCTGCTCTTCTCTGCCTCTGACTTCTCAGGCCTCTCTGGCCGTCCTCGATCTCCTACCCTGGCACCCTCTGCACGCCGGCTGGTGACTGAGGTTTCCCCAGTGCTGACTGTCTCTCTCACCACGCTCACTCCTCCTGTTGGAGGTAAGCCCCAAGCCGCTGGCAGGTCGACCTTGTCGTTCCTGCTCGGAGCGGTCCGCCTGAGCGTGGGCGATGTCCCTGAGGTACTCGACCGTGTCGAGGCAGGTCTCGAGCAAGTAAACGGTCAAGGAGGCGTCAACCTCGTTGATCGGGACAAACCTCAGCTCACCTGAAAGCCGCCTTAGGGCAACGCACCCCCTGCAGCTGCCACGCGGATCCACGAAGTAGACCCGTCCGCACGTGGCGCACGGCGGCATGAGGGTGCCCTCCCAAAAGAGCTTGAGAACAAAAAGGTGGCATCGACAGAACGATACGGGTTCGAGAGAGCGTTTCGTTTATTCGAAATTCCATCAGCTTATGATTCAAGAAGTTCGATCCGAAGCCACAAACCTGCAGTTCTTTCGCCTGCCTGGCACTCGATGTTGGAACGACATCGTCTTCATCTCCATGGGTGACCAAAGCCACCTGAACAGGCCGCCAGAAGCTCTGGCTGGGAAGGTGACTCCCATGCGCCTCCTGTCTTGGAGGACCTGGAAGTTGAAGCGCAAGGCAGCGGGCAGCAATGACGCTGAGGTCCAGTCCATCCTGGAAGCGGAAGATCAGAACTTCCGAGTTCGCATGCTTTGGAGCGAACTACATGGATGTGGACTCCTTCGGCCCGAGCGCCGCGCTGACCTGGTCACTATGGCGGAGGAGCAAGCGCAGCTGGTGCGCGGCGTGGTCTGCACCGACAGCCGTGGCAGCTACGACGCTGTAGAGCTGAATGAAAGCCCACTTCTGGGGCTATCCAATTATGAGGGCAGCGTTGCAGGCATTTCAGCTTCGGGACAACCTCAAGAGGGTTGGATGTGAGCTGCGCTGGCTCACATCGGACTATGACCTTGCCGATGCCCTCACGAAGAAACGGGGAGAGGCCAGGGTTGGTCTCATGAAGTTTCTTCGAACCTGGCTCTGGTCGATCGCCTACAACCCCAACTTCGTGGCTGCAAAGAAGAACAAAAGAGAAGGTCGCACTGCGATTCAAAAGCCCATGGAGCCATGGATAGCTGTCTGGAGGAGATTGTGATCCTCCAGGCACAGCATTTGGCTGTTGAGGTGATATGGCCATGAGAGAGGGACTGAACCTGAGCGTTTTTTGTACTGGTGCAACAGATCCAGCTAGACACGTCAGGTTCAGTGGTTTGGGCTGATTTCTCCCGGTGCCCCGGCCCCTTTTTGTGTGCTTCCTCTCGCCACGACCTGGCTATGGAGTGACCGACGAGGTCATTGGAAAGGGTGCGCACTGAGCGCAAAGCTTTGTTTCGATCGAGCCCATGCCCCGCTCCGCTGCAGAGTCCTTACCCCCTGAAAGAAGTGGAGAAAAGGGTCTCACATAGACTCTTAGATCAATCCCACGCCAGTACACCCCTACAATCTACAACCACAGGCCTTTACAGATCGCTGTTCTCTTATGCTGAATCTGAAGGGAGCCACCTGAGTTTGAGATAAAACCGAAATGGACCCACACATGAACCCCGAACAGTCGACCGTCGCCCCTCACAGATTTTCACCATGGTTGGTCTATTGGAAGGCCAGCGGAAAGCTGACAGGGCAGTGCAAGGGCTGTTGTTTCTCAAGTTCCTCCTCCAACTCTGCGCGGCTTTAAAACCAATTGCCGCCCAGAGGAGTGCGGGGGATTTGTCCAGAGCCTGTGGCAACTGCCTGCAACATGTGGAAGAATAACACAGGGAGATATGCCCAACTGCAAAAGTTGCGCGCGTCAATCCAACGCTGTTCAACTCTTGGTTAGCGACTCTGGCTGTGTCTGTGCAACAGGGATGGAGTCGAACTTCGCTGGGCAGGAGTTCAGCAGGTGGGGTTAAGAGACAAGTTTCACATGAACAATACAAATCGCACCACATTTCTACGCTGGGTTGCGCTGGGCGCCATGAGCTTTCAAGCGCAGCTGCACTCGGAGCACAACATAAAGAGCATGGAAGAGGGAGCAAAGGTGGTCTTCTTTCCAGGAGTGGCAGCCAAGCCATCAAATAATCGAGCTGTCGCCAGGCAGCTACTACTTCCGCAGCACTTCTTAGCAAAGCGCAAAGGCATTCCAAGGAACTGTCAGAAGTTGCTGCGGCCCACAGCTACCAACCTTTTAAGGCTCTGCTTTCTTACTGCAAGCATGTTGTGAAAACAAAAGCTGGGCAAATTCATCAGGGGTTCCTTCCTGGCCCGCATCCTTGGCAGTACAGCGAGAAATTGATGCACAAGTACCCTCGCAAACAAAAGACAAACAATAAGAATCTTCTGAAAAGGTCACTCTACATCGCGATACTGTAAGAGAAGAGTATTGGAACTGCTTGCGACATGTGTGAGACGAGATCAGCATGGAAGAATAACACGGCAAAATATGCCTAACTGCAAAGTTGGGCGCGTCAATCCACACACGTTCAACTTTTGCTTGTCCAAGGATATGTCTGCTTGTTTGAAGCCTTCAGCTCCCGTCTGCGCAACAGGGATGGAACCGAACTTCGCTGGCCAGGAGTTCAGCACGTAGGGGTAAGAGAGAAGTGTCACATGAACAACGCAGATCGTACCATATTTCTACCCTGGGTTGCGCTGGGTGCCCAGAGCCTTCAAGCGCAGCTGCACTCGGAGCACAACAGCGGTCTTCTTCCCAGGACTAGCAGCCAAACTGTGCATCGTCTCTTCACGCTATGTGGAAGCCCGACGCCGCCGGTTCTGCGACTTGGTCACAGCCGCTTCTGTTTAAAATGACGGGTATCCTCTGAGATAGGAAGGAACACAGAAACTTTGTTGCTGAGACATTCCCATACACACCACTTGGTCGTTCAATACGAGAAGTTCACCATCAACTTTCACACCACGCGCACCGGGAGCTGCCCTTCCGAGTCTTCCAGATCGGAAAGCTCGCCACCTGCCATAAGCTATCTCTTCAATGCATGGTTGAAAGGTTCCCCTCAACATGCAGCACCTTCAGGTGTTTGTGGAACACACTTATATAATCAAGAATCAAGAGGATGGCAATTTTTGAGTTCTTGCACAGGTCTGAGCGCCAAACACTTGCTCCTGGCAGGATTGAAGATGTAGCAGCCAGCTCGCGCTTTTGGGCTTCCAAATGTGGAATGGCTTTTCGCCGCCCAGTCAAAAAAACGACCTTGTGGAAATCACCAAACAATTTTGGTCTTGCTTTCAATGCTCAAATCATCTCAAAGCTGAAGTGGGGAGTCACAACTTCAGCGTCCAGATTGCGTGTGACTTGCAACGCCGAACAGAAATGTGTGAGCTTGTCCAGACGAGATCACTCGGCAAACCGGGCCAACCCACACCACGAGTTACAGCTCTTCCTCATCTCAGACACGCCACGAGTGTGAAGCTGAACCTAAAACAATGGTATCAGAGCCACATGAAGGATACACGAGGTCTGAACAAGAACAGCTAACCTCCACTCGAAGGTGGGCCAAACTTGCACTCACGCAGTCTGAAGAAGAACCGCTACAACAAAGATTGAGGCCGCTGTGAACTCTTTGGTCTCACCGAACGCTCGCAGACCAGCCGTGGCCACAAAACATAAGTCTGCAGAGTCTGCAGCCTTTGTCTACCTGCTCCTCTGATACTGCAGCTCAAGAGGCAAAAAAGCCCAAGCACCTCCATCACTGCAACCTCTGGGCTTGCCCCTGGACTTCCACGTCCGCTTCCAAGGCGCAACATTTTCCTGACAGTTTTAGGGTCGTCATCAGCCGGCTTCCCACTTCAACTCCAAGCAGAGAACATTGACCTTTTTACAAACACTGGCCTTGTGACTGATGTTCCAGGTTCATTGGTTTGTCTCAGAATATTCACAGGAGCCTTGAGACAGAAAAGGTTCAAACCTGACTGTCCACACACAACACCAACATCGTGCAAGTGTCTATGACCTCATGGACTCATGGTCTATCGACCAAATGTCCACACCTCTGGGAGATATTTTGCCCACATCGCTTGCTGCCACCAGGGGGGCCATTCCCACAGAGCGCCGCGATCTCGCAACCAGAAATTCCATCACCAGCACGGAGCGGACGACGAAGGAGATCGGTCTGGGTCGAGGATTTCGGGGATAAGTCGTACACTTACGCGAGTCTCAACTGAAGCAAAGAAGGCTAGGATGGACAAGAGCTTGGCGAAGCCATCGTCTGAGGAGCTAAATGAAAGATCACTTGCAGCAAGTCTCGCACCAAGTCTGCACGTGTCCAAAGGCATGCAAATCTCCCAGCACTGCTCCGTGTAGAACCTAGTTGGACAATGTACAAAGCCCTGTGGCTGACAATGTGGAGGTGCCCAGTGGCCAGCGACCATGGGGCAAAGATGTTAGGAAGCAGGGTGCCTCCATGCCTCTACCGCTGCGCCCTTCTCTATCAAGCATACGGCCCCCAGCCACGGCAAGCCACCGCACTTGTGCGCAAAATCCCGGTGTCTCCGTTCACTTTGGGTGATCCAGGCGCACATATGGTTGTGGGTCATGGCATCAAGATACCTTGGTTGACCTACCTGGGGTCAAAGCTATTACATGGTGTCGGGGCTCCTGGTTTTAACGCCGCGGGATTAGCCAAGTCGGCATAACAAATCAAAAGAGATTGTCAAGCTCAAGGTCCATATCCCAAGCAAAAGAGCAATTCCTTAAGGAACCAAACCCGCCCCTTCCGAGCGATTCGATCACACTGGAGACACCGAACTGCCAGCAGCACTCTTCACGGAATTCGTGGAATCTGGAAAATGGCGGTCTTTAGCCTCAATGCCACTCCTTGTTTTGGCTCCACCCGCCCCCCGATCGTATGGCATGGGAATTCGGTAGGCGATTTAAATCTGCAATGTGATGGTCATGTCACCGCAGCTCCCTGGCAAACACCTGGAAGAAGAACACAAAACTCTGCCAGGATGTGTTCACCTTCTTCACTGACCCCATGGTTACCATTGTCAAAAATGCGCCGGTCTGGACCTCTGCCAAGCAACTTAGTAGGGCCAGTAGGGTACAGGATTGTGGAGGAAATGAGGTGTTGGTGACATTGAAAGAAAAACGGAGTGGGCTAAGTGCGCTGGATCTTGCTAAGTGGGCTGGTCGTCAATGCACTTTGCTGTTCTTGTCTGCCTTGTCCCAACCAACCTGCGCTCTGAAGATCGAAGACAAAGCACTAGTGAGAAGGCGGTGGCGAGCAGCGGGAGGGCCCAGCGAGTGTCACACTTCTTGGGACCGGACTAGCAAACTGGAAAACTGAAGAGCTAGGATTCCGGGATTGTAGGGAGAGGGGAGTCCTTCCTAGTGGTTTTGTGCAGGTTGTATCCTTCCAGAATGGCCCTCCAGATGTGAACCAAAAATGCGCTCGGAATGGTGGTTGATGGCGAAATGTATTTCTTTTGTGAGGGGTTGATGGGAGGGAAGAAGCCTCAACGGTGCGTCAATCAATGCTAGTCAATGTCTGCAGGTTGCATCTAAATCTGCTGAGAAGCCGAGTAGCTAGTAATTGCTCAGTCCACACTCAAGCTGCCTGATACCCTTCGCGACCACAGAACCACAGTACGCAGGCATTACAGAGTCACATCCGGTGGGCCGTTTTTAAATCAACAAAGAGGCCGGTAGTTTAGACGGCCCACTTTTGGACTTGCACAATGACTGTCCAATGATTGGCCTCTTACGCAAATGACAAAAGTCAGGAGACTGGGTTCAGCTTGCTCCTAGTGACCATCGTGACCTCTTTCTCTTTCTTTACTCCTTTGGCTCACAAGAGCAGCAAAGCTCCTTCAAACAGGTCTGGTCCTCAAAGAGGAAACGCCTTGCGTGCTTTGGGTGCAAAGTGTCCCAACTTCCGAAACAAATCAGCTTCTGCTGACTTCATTGCAAGCTGTTCTACATACCAGACAAGCGTCAACTCACTGCTTTGAAGCATCATGTGAAGTATACAAGACATTCAGCTACTTCATTCCTCCGCTACAGGGTGTGAGGAACCAACTGCCAGGTCTTGTCCAGCTCAGCATGGATTTTTGGCCAAAGAAACTATCAGAGTTGATGGACATCCTTACATGGGTTTGTATTTTTTTAAGGTTCCCGGGCCGGGATGTTTGACTATGGGGTATGCTGCGGAGGTATGCTTCGGGGGTATGCTTCGGGGTATGCTTCGCGCAGTGTGAAGACTAAAGTAGGGTACGCTTCTGGGGTATGCTTCGGGGTATGCTTCGCCTAATTCGAACATCCCAGCCCTACATAAACTGGACGCCTTAAAAAAAGACAAGCCCACATGACATAAGAGGCCGGTAGTTTAGACGGCCCACTTTTGGGCTTGCACAATGACTGTCCAGTGACTGGCCTCTTACGCAATGACCAAAGTCAGGAGGTTGGGTTCAGCTTGCTCCTAGTGACCATCGTGACCTCTTTCTCCTTCTTTACTGCTTTGGCTCACAAGGGCAGCACAGCTCCTTCAAACAGGTCTGGTCCTCAAAGAGGAAACGCCTTGCGTGCTTTGGGTGCAAAGTGTCCCAACTTCCGAAACAAATCAGCTTCTGCTGAAATTGATTGCAAGCTCTTCTACATACCGAACAAGCTTCAACTCACTGCTTTGAAGCATCATGTGAAGTATACAAGACATTCAGCTACTTCATTCCTCCGCTAGGAGGAGGATTCAGGGTGTGAGGAACCAACTGGCAGGTCTTGTCCAGCTCAGCATGGATTTTTGGCCAAAGAAACTATCAGAGTTGATGGACATCCTTAAATGACATGTCTCAGGGCCTCTTTGGCCTCATTGCCACTCCTTGTCTTGGCTCCACCCGCCCCCCGATCGTACGGCATGGATCTTCGGTAGGCGATTTGTCTTTCTGCGATGCGGTGGTCACGTCACCGCAGCTCCCTGAGGAATCGCACCTCCCGGAGAAGCGTTGAAAACCAGGAACTGTACTGGCTGGGCAGATTGCTTACTGTTTGTGACTGGCTGTTAGAATTCAACATAAGGAATTAGGAATGTAGTTAGAATATAAAAATGTAATTCCGAGCTTCCATGCACTTAGAATCTACACCAATGCACTTAGAATATACAAGAGGCAAAACAAAAGTGATACATCTTAGCTCCTTGACTCCTCAATGATTCTTTCTTTAATGAGGAGGTGCCAACAGATAATGGATGCCAAAGAGAATGCACGCTTTGCTTACTGTAGTAAAGTTACAAATGGAAGTGATAAAGATCAATGGTGTTGATTCAATGGCTGCTCCACCATATTCTAACTGCATTGTATTCTATGTGCTATTTTTACCAGGTCTGCCTTAATGAAACAGATCCTAATTCATGTTTTTAATTGATTTTATATTCTAACTCCTGGTCAGTTACTGTAATTTGAAGTTGGAAGGTGTCCCACATGTTTTCAAGCAAGCTTGGTCGAGTTGCAAAAAGGTACCTGGCACAGGAACAATCAACCATCTGCCAGAAGTTCCAAGCTCTTCCAGCTCCTCACATGACAGTTCTCAGGGCCTTAGCAGCCTCAGCAAGCAGCACGCGCAACGCTGCGTGCCAGCATACAGTTTTGCAACGCAGCCTTCAAGGACCCTAATCCCTATCCACAACGACAACCATTCGGATGCGTTCCCAAACACGAATTCCAAGGCGTTTCCAAAGCACCAAAAATGCACGTGGCAAAAGCAGCTTTGGCTGATGCATTCTACAGGCCCAAAAAAATGCATCCGCAGGTTCTGTGGATGCACACAACATCGACCAAACCTTCACAGCTACCCTTCCCCGCCGACGCAAAAGCGCCGACGCATTTTTCATCCCGCCAAAATGCATGCCATACCGTGTTGAAGCGTCACCATGCATTGGCATGTGTGCCAGCACGCGTGTGCCAGCATGTGTGTGACGGAGCAGCTAAGCACAGGGCCCCTTTGGTCTCATTGCCACTCCTTGTCTTCGCTCCGGGAATTCGGTGAGCGATTTGTCTTTCTGCGATGTGGTCATGCCAGGCATGTCACCGCAGCTCCCTGGCAAACACCTGGAACAACACAAAACTCTGCCAGGGTGCGTTTACCTTCTTCACCGACCCCATGGTCACCACTGTCAAAAATGTGCTTGTCGTTGGCACTATGGGGCTACTCATCTGCGACACCTGTTGAGGCTTTTGAGAAATCGCACCTAGCGGAGAAGCGTGGAAAACAAGGAACTCTACTGGCTGGGTCTGATTGCTTAATCTGAAATTGGACAGTGTCCAACATTGGACACCAAGAAAGCGCAGGTGAAAAGATGTAATTAGAAAAATATATTCCGCAGGTGAAAGGTATCTTCATCTGCCAGAAGTTCCTAGCTCATGAATGTTTTCTGTGCGTTTCTGCCATTCGAGGAACCTCCAAAGGGTCCGATACCAAACACTTGCCGATACTTCCAAATACTCCGATATCACTGGTGGGCAGTATAGTCAAACTTGCCTTCCAAAGTGCCAAGTGCTCTGGAGTCAAATCAAGCACTCAAGGAAATGGGTGTCTGGCCATTTGCCTCACTCAGGCCGCTGTTTCACGAGCTCACTAGGCTCAAGGCCACACATGAGTCTCCAGCTTTTTCGAAACGGCTGGAGACGTTGCTTGCAAAAGCAGATCCACAAATTCTGCTCAGGTTTGCAACGTGCCCGGAATCCAAGTAAGTCTGTAGTGAGGGCTGCAGGTGTGCGACTCCTCGTTCAGGTCCAAGTGCAGCCAAGCTGACCTGATTGATCTGTTCAAAAAGAATACATCCGTTGGCCGCTGAACTGGGCTTTGCATGAAGAATGTTTCAAGAAGTCTTGCTGGGACTGCTTTCTCATGCCAATCGCCATGTGAGGGAAGGTTGCTGAAGAAAGCAACTTGGTGTAGCTGGAGTCAAAAGCCGGGATGTCACAAGATCCTCCAAACTGATGTGGTTTCATTTGGTTCCCTTCTAGGAGGGTGCCCTGGCTGTAGGTCCCACCTGGTCAATGATAGTATAAAGGGGCTATCCAGGCATCCCTAAATGGAGATTCACTAACAACCAGCAGTTGGTTTCATTTTCGAGGTCCCATGGGTACTCCGAAGTGTAAACACAAGTCTGTGGATTGTTTTAACCTCAAAAATTTAGCGAAGTGACGTGGGGAGGTTCTATTTGGTGCAAGAACCGTCTTCAAAAAATGGACTTCCCAAGACCTTTTCTCCTAGGGCATAGAACTCAACCAGCCAAGTAGGACCTGAGAGATTGAATATTGAAGACCGCTGTCCTTTGAGCTTAGATAGCGTGCTTTAGAGTCGAAAATCCTTGAAGCCCAGCTGCTCTCCTTCTGCAAGCGCAGCACAGTAGACAGCAGATGAAAGTCCCGGTGCCCTTCGGGCCAGCAGCATGGAGACCAGGACGGCCTGGAACTTTAGAAGGCACGGATCCTTTTGTCACAACCCACGTTGCCAGCTCAACTGCCTGTTTTTATGTGGCGATTTCAATGTTGTGCTTTCAATGGCTTCTACTGTGCGCATCTACCATCAAGCTTATTGTCTTTTAGATTCTATTATATACTACTATATATAAATAAGCGTGCTTCCTCCAAATGCCAATGTATTTTGCGCCAGACCTTCTAAATATTACATTTATGATCTCAATTTTATCGTTAGGCATACGCTACAAAGACAAGCAAAAGTTTTATTCGCCGTGGAGACGGACAGGGACCTGGAACAAATATTCTTATCACAGCATGCACTCATTGTTGCTCATCTAATGCAGAATTTTCCTGAATCCATAAACAAGAAGACAAATTAAACAGTCTTACAGTCCGGCTCTTTATGATTTCAACTCACAGGCGCGGAACTCTTGCAACGCCTTCCTTTAATGGGACAACGACGCTTAACAAAGTCTAGCCCTGAAACCGAAGTATCAAAAAGAAATATTCCTTGAATTTGTTGTCCCACCATTCATCGTCTAAAATCCGCAAGGGCAGAAACAAACATGAAGATGTTTTTTGTTCAATGTTCCCCCCTTTCTCCATCATAACCGCAGCCAAGTCAGCACATTGGATGGCTAAAACAATCCACCGAAACCCAACCCTTCCAACCCAAAACACTGGCACGACACTTGAATGGAATTATCAAAATTGCCCTTCCAGTTGCTGGGAATCATCTTGTCAAGCCTCCAAAAAGGGGTCCACTGACTACTGGGAGTTGGAACCCTGCGTGGCCTCCACCTTCGCATCACCCCTCTCCCGCTGGCATCCTCCCCACGCGGCAACAAAAAAGTCTTGCCTCGGGCAAAAGTAGCCACCTGACAGTGGAAGAGGTTGGCAAAAAGAGATTTGTGAACAAACGGAGGCACCTCTGAAAGGAAGCCATTCGTTCCAAATGCGCGCGGTAGGAAATGAAGATCTGGATTGCTGCTCATGGCTGGAAGATATCATACATACTTGAAGAATTCCTGTAATCCGACCGCGCCGAAGGTGCCGAGGGCAATCTCAAGAAGTCGCAAGAAATATGCTAGATTAAATCTTAAGCTTTAGCTTGGGGGGGTGTTTGCTTCAGAAATGCTATGCTTTGCGGCATTTTTGAAAATTAATATAAATTGAAAATTGCTTTGGAGTACACGACGGCGACGCCGACTATGTTGGCCAGTGGCGATCGCATTATCGACATCGCGGACGTATGTGCAAGCCGGGGGACATCGTGGGCGCGTTCGTCCGCGTGTCCTGCCCGAGCGAGACACACACTGACAGACCAAGATGGGCAGACCAAGACAGAAGACAAGCGGACCGAGACAGATCGACCGAGACAGACCGACCGAGACAGACTGACCGAAACAGACAGACCGAGACAGACTGACCG